TGGCATCCACTTCCGAAATGGCTTGCCTCTGGAAACTCTATGAACTTGGAGAAATGATGAAAGTTTATACAAGTGTTCAGGTCTTTTGTTCATAGGGTCACTATGAGTCTACAACTCGATGGCACTTAACAACAACTGTATATATATTCCATTCTCTTCCTGTTCTCCCCAATTCCATATCTGTCCCGTGTTTATAACAGCAATCTTATGCAGTATTAGTCATTTTGTGATATTTTTTTACCACAGCATTCTTTTTAACATCAGTAAGTCTATTACTGGAAGTTCGAGTGGCATTGTGGTAAGGAATTGGGCCGTCAACTCAAAGGCACATGGTTCAAACTCACCAGTAGCCCTGCAGGAGAGAGATGGCAGTCTCCTCCCACATGACTGAGAGTCCCAGAAAACCTGCTGGAGGGTCAGGTATGAGTCAGTTCCAACTCAATGGCCTATAACAACAACAACAATATTATGGACCTCTGGTAGCACAGTCGATAGGAAGCTGGACTGCTAACCCAAAGGCAGCACCTTTCTGGCAGTTCTAATCTGCCAGTGGCTCCACGGGAGAAAGATGGGTACTCTCCTCGCATGCAATCTACAGCCTCAGAAAAATCCACTGGAGGGTCATCTCTGAGTCAGTTCTGATATGGAAGGTCAGCTATGATGCAAAAGCAACGAGCTTGGTTATGAGTTTTGAATAGATATTTAATGTGGCCTTCTGTGAGTGAATATGTGAATATGTACCTACCAAATGAGTTACATGAGATGGGAAAGAGAAGAAGAAACAGATTCTGGTCAATACTCTAAAAAAAATCATCTCTAAGAAAGATTCTGGATGAGATAGATTGATACAGTAACTAGGGCAATGGGGGTAGGCAAGTCAGAGTCAGTGAGACTGGCTCAGGACAGGAAAGGCTTCAGAGCTGCTGTACGTAAGGTCACTATGGATCGTAGGCAACTTGATAGCACTTAACAATAATGTAAAAGCCATACTTTCAAATTATGATGTTTCTCCCAGCATCAATGGATACTCAATAATGGTTTACTAGGGGACTCTGGTGGCCCAGTTGTTAAGAAGCTGTCCTGCAATCCTGAAGGCATGTAGTTTGAATCCACCAGCTGCTCCGTGGGAGAAGGATGGGTAATTTCATCCCATCTGATTAACCGCCTCTGAAAACCGGCCTGGAGGCTCAGCTATAGGTCCGTTCTGACTTGATGGCAACAACAATGAGATGGATGGAAAGGGAGCTCTGGTGGCCAAGTAGTAAGAAGCTGCACTGCTATCCCAAAGGCACACAGTTCAAATCCACCTGTTGCTCCATGGCAGAAATATGGACAATATCCTCCTATGTGATTAAACTGTCTGTAATAACAGGTGAGAGAATCGGCTATGAGTCAGTTCTGATTTGATGGTACACAACAACAAGTGGATAAAAATGTTGTGGATATTTCAAAGAAATAATAAAATTAAGACAAAAGAAAATAGGCAGAGAACAAATTAAGGAAGCTAATAAAAAAGCTAGCCAATAGTTTTCACATTCAGTTTTAGAAATAAATCAACCTGGAAATTAGGATTGATGAAGGCTGAGGTTTCTTGAAAGAATCTGCGTTTCCTGAAAGTTTCAGTGAGGTGAAGGAAATGGGAAGGATCTTTTGTGAAAAACAATGTATTCAAACTCTGTAAATAAATCAGAGTAAAATAAAAGATTTAAAAAGAAAAAAGTCTCAATGATTCAAGAAAGAATTATTGATTCTACTGTATTCCTAAAATGAACTGCTACCTGGTGGCCTCAAAATGCACGCCTTTGGGATTGTAGCACAGCTTCTTGCCACTAGGCTACCAGAGCTCCCTACACTTAAGTGAGGGGGTAGAGGGGAATGAAACACACTTCTGTGCAGTCAATTCTGCCTTACAGTGGCCCTATTCTGCTTCAAATTATTAAAAAATGACAGGAACAGCACATCAACAGAGAACTACCAGAAGTACAGGCTGGGTTTAGAAAAGGCTGTGGTACTAGTGATATTATCGCTAATGTTTGATGGATCTTGGCTTAAAGTAGAGAGTATTGTCTAAAAAAAAAAGTAGAGGAATGTCTATCTGTGTTTCATTGACTATGTAAAGGCATTTGACTGTGTGGATCACAACAAACTGTTGCTAACTCTGAGAAGAATAGGAATCTCAGAACACTTGATTGTGCTTATGCAAAACGTGTACTTGGACCAGGAGACAGTAGTCAGAACAGAGCAAAGAAAAAAAGAGTCGTTCAAAATCAGGAAGGGTGTATGCTAGGGATGTGTCCTATTTCCATACCTTTTCAATCTATATGCAAAACAGATTATCCAGGAGGGTGGGCTCTATGAGGAGAAATGTGGCTTCAGGACCAAAAGAAGACTCATCAACAACCTGTATTATGTAGATGACACATCCCTTCTTGCTGAAACTGAGGAGGACCTGAAGCATTTGCTGCAGAAGGTCAAGGACTACAGCCTTCAATATGATAGAAGCTCAACATCAAGAAAACAAAGATTCTCACCACTGGTCCAATTGGCAGCATCATGACAGATGGTGAAGACATTGAGATTGTTAACAGCTTTAGTTTGCTAGGCTCCACAATCAACACTCTTGGTACCAGCAGCCAGGAAATTAAAAGATGAATTGCATTGGGTAAGTCTGCTTTCAGAGACCTCTCCAAAGTACTGAAGAGCAAAGATGTCAGTCTGGAGAGTAAAGTGTGCCTGATCTAGGCCTTTGCATTTATTTGCTACGCATCAGAGAGCTGGACAATGATTAGGGATGATAGAGAATTGATGCCTTTGAGCTGTGGTGCTGGAGAAAGAGTATTGAATATACCATGGACTGTTAGGAGAACAAACAAGTTTGGCCTAGAGAGGAAAAAGCCAGGCTGCTCCTTGGAGGCAAGGATTCTGAAGCTTCATCTGACATACTTTGGATACGCTGTAAGGAGGAACCAGTCCTTGGAGAGGGATGTCATGTTTGGGAGGGTGGAGTGACAGCGCAGGAGAGGAAGACTCCCAGTGAGATGGATTGATTCAGTGACTTGGGTAGAGGGGGTAAGTGTATCAGAGACAGTAAAATTGGCACGGGATAGAGCAGGGTTTAGGGCTGTTTTAAATAGGGTCACAGTAGCAGGAGACTCGACAACACATAACAACAGCAACATGAAGACAGAGCAGAACTGTCCATAGGTTTCTAAGACTGCACAGTTTCAGAAAAGCAGATTGCCTCATCTTTCTCCCTAGTAGAAGGTGGTAGACGCCGATCATTGACCTTCTGGTTAGCAGCCAAAGTCTTTACTCACCTCAACCCTACGGTCCTTTGTCTAAGGGAAGAGGCAGCTTATTGATAACTGAACTCAGGGACTGGATGATGTACAAATGTCCACAGATGGAAATATGGCAATTTACATTACAAAACTTAAGGGTGAGTGAGAAACAAACAAAAATATTATACCACCTTTTGGTTATATAGTACCCCCAACATGAAATGTTGTGTCTGAAAATTAAAAACTTAGGGAGATGGTCTAGACAAAACTGACAATAAATGGAATCATTGTTTTCCATTGTGACACTTAGCATTTCATAGTGATAGAGGATTTTTCATCAGAAGAGAATACAGTGCTTTTAAAAAACCAGAAAAAACTGAGCAAGTATACCGAGAGTCATACAAATGCACGAATCCAGAACTCATCTAACTTTTCTTTAACTGTATTTGGAAAATATTCCAGTGAAGTCTACAGGGAATTTCATATATTTACTTTCTGTAATCGCCTTCCTGACTAAAGAAAGCCTCTTTCAATCCCCAGTTCAGTTGTCTGTGACTAAGGGTTGAGGCATTTGAACAATTCTTTGCCTCAGAGCATGCTGGGAAATCTGTGGTTAAGGTTAACTTTTCTGCAAGTAAACGACTCTCAGAAACCTGAATATACGCTGTACCCTCAGGTCCTAGATATTACATACCTTTTTGTCAAAAGCCACATGTGCTGGAATAAAATCAGCAGGCGGGGGCTGCTTAGGTTCGCCATAAGTTAGCACTGGAATTTTACTGGCCAATTCATCGAGGTCAGCCTGGGACAGCTGGCCGGTCTCGAGCTGGGTTCCACCAACCCCAACTGCTGGACGTCGAGCAACAGCATAGCCATTGTTGTAGCCCAGCGTCTGACTTCTGTGGAAAGCTGTTCTCTGAAGAAAAAAAAAAGAAATATGTCATTAATAATAATATATACTAGAAAGAAAAGCTAATTTAAAAAATAATAACTTGAACAGCTCATAAAGATCACAAAATACATCAAAAAAATTACTTTCTTGTATTTTAAGGTATGAAACTTGGCATGAAGCAAGAACGGAAGTAGTAACTGGTGCTTAAAATAAATTTTAAAGCCTTGCTCTAGAATAGTTAATGTAACTATTAATTCGCCTTTCAGAAGATTAAAACATTCTTTCATCAACATTGTTAGTTTTTTTTACTCATTTTCTCATGTTTTTAATATTATCTGATGGCTATGAACCATGGGGCTTAGAAAATGTGGTTCTGTATATTTTCTTTTTACGTGAAATGAAAAGGTCTTGTTACAATAGCAGATATATTAATATAACTCTTGGAATTTGCTGCTGTGGAGTTGGAATCAACACATAACTGACCTTACATTAACCCAAATTGAGTCTGTAAATCACAATAGGAGATTGCCCATATTTCTCTCTTGGAAACACTTGTAGATTGAACCTCTAAAGAAACACAGGCTTTGGGTTAGCAGTGCAACTCCTGACAAATTATAGAACCTGAATATTTGAAGTCCTGAACTCAGTAATTCTACCCTGATAATCTATTTTAGGATATGTTGCTATTGTTAGGTGCCGTTGCATCATAGACAAATCATAGCAACCCTATGAACGAAAGACCTGAACAGTTGTGTAACTTTAATCATTTCGCCATGTTCATAGAGTTTCCGGAGGCAAGCTATTTCGGAAGTGGATGCCACTCCTGGTTCCAAGCTTGTTTAATCAGGGAGCTCCACCAAACACTGTCCACCATGAGTAACTATTATCGCATTTGGCACATCCTACATACCTAAAACTGCCTACTACAATGTTTATTAAATTAGTAAAATATTGGAAACAAAAGCAATATTATGTGAAGATGCAAGTAAATGATCACTCACTTAACAGACTATTACACAGTTATTAAAATATGATATTAATGGTGATGGTTGAAAAACATTGATTAATGCAATTAATGTGAAGACTGTAGAAATGACAAATGTTTTGTTACTCATATACTCAAATAATTTTATTAAAACTACAATAATGGTTTTAAAGGCACTGTAGCAACTTGGAATAAATATTACTTCTTATTGTTGTGTAGAGTCTGATCTATGGTATAAACAGCATTGTTGTGTACTATCAAGTCAAAACCAACTCATTGCTGAAGGATTTCAGAGGCAGTAAATCACATGGGAGATTACCCATCTTTCTTCCATGAAACAGCTGGTAGACTCAAACCATATACATTTTGGTTAGTAGCAGCAGGGAGATGAGCTGCTAAACCAAAGGTACACAGTTCAAACCTACTAGCTGCTCCTTGAGAGAAAGATGGGCAGTTTCATTCCATGATATTTACAGCCTCTGAAAAACTGCTGGAGAGTCAGCTATGAATTAGTTCAGACTCAGAAGTAATAAAACAACATACTTGATTTAATAGATTTAAAAAATGAGAAGTTTATATATACCACTACAATAAGCATGTTCATACAGGTCACTGGAAAAAACCTAAAAAAAAAAGAACATAAAAAAAGACTGAAAATCCATATAACATATTTACACTGAATTAGATTAATTTTAAAATTTATTTTAAAATTATGCAAATATGTATAGGTATACATAAACAGTTTACAAGGAGTCATTTGATGCAAAGACTTCTGTATGTCCTTACTTGGCTCTTTTTTTTAAGCCCAGCCTACCATCTTTGAAGATTTTTACTAATATCAAAGGTATAATAAACAAAACATCTTTTACCAAAAAGTTCTAGGCTATGGAAGAAAGGATTACCAATTGATGATTAACAGACATGGCCAGCAGAGTTGACAGGAGCTGCTCCAGGTGCATAAGGATACATGACATATATTCAATGGCCAACAGACACATGAAGAAATGCTCAAAATTACTGCCAATATGAGAGGTGCAAATTAAAACCACAATGAGATACCATCTCACTCCACTAGCAGTGGCAAAGTTTAACAGGACAGCAAGTAATAAATGTTGGAGAGAATGTGGCGAGATAGGAACTCTTACGCATTGTTGATGGGATTGTACAATGGTTGTAAAACCACTCTGGAAGGCAGTTTGGCATTTCCTCAAAAAGTTGAACATAGAAATTCCATTATGACCCAGCTATTCCACTGCGTGGAATAAACCCTGAGAAAATGAGTACTGAGGCACAAATGGAGACTTGTAAACCAATGTTCATAGCAGTGTTATTCACCATTGCAAGAATATGGAAACATCCCATATGTCCAACCACAATCGAATGGATTGAAAAATTATGGTACATACACATGATGGAATACTACATAGCATGCAGGAACAGTAATTTTTTAAATTATTGCCTAACTTGGGAGAGACTGGAGAGCATTATACACTAAGTCAACTAACTCAGGCCCATAAAGACAAGTATTGTATAAGACCATTATTGTAGAAATAGATAACTAGTAAAATGTGTAAGAGGATCTAAGCAAGGGGTGGTGGGAGCACCGGGATGAGGATGGGTGGGGTGCATAATCATAGAGTCACACAATTTCATGGGTGGAGTGATGGGTGGGTTAAGTAAATGGGAAAGATCCAGTGTGAAAACAACGTATATGGAATTTGTAAGTAATCCAGAATAAAATAAAAAGTTTAAAAACAAACCCTAAACAGGTTGAGTAGTTCCTCACTTAGTAAGTTATGTAAACTCAAGCTCCTTTTCTCCAACTTTTAATGGAAAAAACCCAATGTCACCTGCTTCAGTTTACTTTCATCTTTATAGACATCTCAGTCTTCACTCAGCTATGACTTTTGTTTTTGTTTTAAGTGCCATCAGGTCAATTATGGCTCATGGTGACCTTAAGAGCAATAGATCTAAACTTTGCCCTATCCTGTACCATCCTCACGATCTCTGCCATACTCATGTTCATTCTGACAGTCATTCTGTCAATCCATCTCTTTGGTGGTCTGCCACTCTTTCCTTTACCCTTCTACCCATCCCAGAATGACGTTTCTCTACAAACTGGTTCCTCCTAAAAATATGCCCAAAATAAGTTCGATGATGTTTCACCAACCTTGCTCTTAAGGTTGGTTGCACTTCCTTAAAAATAGATTGTATTGAAACAGATGAAGGAAAGAACAGATTAGAAGTGATATATGATTGAGTATTATGGTTAGCACAGGAATCCAGAATTAAGGTTGCATAGAGAAGTGTACTCGGGGTGGGGGGTTGGGGGGAGGAAATATGGGAATTGTATACTAATGAAGGAATTTTCTTTCTTTCTTTCTTTCTTTCTTTCTTTCTCTCTTCGGAGGGGGAAGCGAGCTGGTGGGGAGGGGTGGGCAGGGAGAAAATTGCAGCAATGAATGAATGGAAATCCAAAACCTCTGTAAAAAAAAAAGAAATTTAAAAAAAGTTGGCAATAAACAGCTTTAACAACTAAAAAAAAAAAGATTTGTTTGTTCTTTTGGCAGTCCATAGTAATTTCAATAACCTTCTCTAATACGACAATTCAAAGGCCATTATTCTTCTGTCTTCCTTGTTCATTGTCCAAATTTCAGTTGCATACAAAACAACTGAAAATACCAAGGCTATATCAAGCACACCTTAGTCTTTAAACTGACATCCTTATTCTTTAGAACGATGGAGAAGTCTGTGACAGCATCGCTCCTTAATATAAGATGTCTTTTATTTCTTGGCTGTTGCTACCATGAGTGTTGACTATGGATCCAAGAACAATGAAATCATTGACAATTTCAATCTTTTCTCTATCATGATGTTGACTATTGGTCCAGTGGCAAGGATTTTTGCTTTTTTGATGCTGAGATATGAATAATATAACTATGATCTTCTGCAGTTAGTGCTGAAAGTTCTCTTCACTTTCTACAAACAAGGTGTGTCATTCGAATAACAGATTATCGATGAGTCTTCCTCTGATCCTGATGCCACATTTTTTACTGAGTCTGAATATTTTTAATTATTTGCTCAGCAAACAGACTGAATAGTTATGGAGAAAGAATACAATCTTGACACACACCCTTCCTGATTTTAAACCATGCAGTATTCCCCTGGTCTGTTTAGAAAACACCTTCTTAGTCTAGGTAAAGATTACACATGAACAAAATTAAGTATTTGAGATTACCCTTCTCAATATTAGCCATAATTTGTCATGATCTACTCAGGCAAATGCCTTTGTATAATCATCAAAACACAAGTAAACATCTTTCAGGTATTCTCAGGTTTCCGTCAAGATCCATCTGTCATCAGCAATGATATCTCTTTTGAATCCAGTTTGAGTCTCTGGCAGTCTTCTGTTGTACTGTTTCAGTTGTTTTTTAGTAACCTTAAGGAATATTTTAGTTGCATGTGATATTAATGATATTATTTGATAGTTTACACACTTTATTAAATCACCTTTTTGGGGAATAGGAACAAATACGGATTTCTTCCATCTTCAGATAAAATACCACATTTATTATTGGAACCTAATGGCAACCCAGGCAAAGCAAATATAGATCTTTCCAATGATTTATTTGAGATGAGTTTACCTTCTGAATATCTTCAGTTATATATACGTAGTCCTTCACTGTTGAAGATTCACTGTCCATGTTTTTCAAACTAAGTAAATTGGCTAGCCAGTGTGTTTAAATAAGAAAATCCATAGGATCCATAGTTACTTGTCCAACAATCCACTGTGTAACAGCTGAGATCACCAATCATTCTAACTCAGTTTTATATTTCACTTCCATGTCCAATATCAAGAAAACAAACATTCTCACCACTGGGCTAATTGGCAGCGTCACAATAGACAGAAAAGAGACTGGAGATTGTTAACAGCTTTGGCTTTCTTGGCTCCACATCAACACTGGTGGTACCAGCAGCCAGAAAATCAAAAGACAAATTGTATTTGGAAAACTGCTGTCAGGGACCTGTCTAGAGTACTGAAGAGCAACAATGACCGTCTAGAGACTAGAGTGAACTTGCCCCAGCCCATGTTCTTTGCAATTACTTGCTGTGCTTCAGAGAGTTAGACAATGCCTTAGGATGACAGAAGAAGGAAGGATACCTTTGTGTTGTGGTGCTGGAGAACAATATTGAACATACTGTGGACTTCCAAGAAAACAAACAGGTCTGTCCTGGAGAGAGTGAAACCAGACTCCTCCTGGTAGGCAAGGATTTTAAAACCCAGTCTCACATATTTTGCCAGGAGGGACCAGTCACTTGAAAAGGACATCATGCAGGGAAGAGTGGAAGTACAGTGCAAGAGAGGATGACCTTCGATGAGATGGATTAACTCAGTGACTGGGATAATTGGAATTAGGTGTGTCAAAGACAATGAGGTTGGCTCAAAATAGAGCAGGGTTCAGAGCTATTTTACATAAAGCCACTGTGAGTCGCAAATGACTTGACAGCACCTAACAACATCAACTATATCCAACACATTATTGTTGTTGGGTGCCGTCAAATCAAGTATGACTCATAGCAACCCAAAGAACACTCTATCTGAATCCTGTCCTATCTTGTGCAATCTTCACACTTCCTGTCATACTAGAGCCCATTGTGGCAGTCACTGTGTCAATCCACCTGATTCAGGGTCTTCTTCTCCTTTGCTGGCCATACACCTTTCCAAGTATCATGTCTTTGTATTATAGCAATATTGTTTTTGTTGACATCTAATTGTTGTTGTTGTTATGTGCTGTCAAGTTGCCTGCAACTCATAGTAACCATATGTACAACAGCTATGAAGCCTGCCCCATTCTAAGCCAGTCTCACTGACTCCAACATACCTACTCCCACTACCCTAGTTACTGTATTAATCTATCTCATCTAAGGTCTTCTTTTCCTGTGCCGCCCCACCACACTTCCAAGCACGATGTCCTTCTCCAAAGATGACGAGTCCCTCCTGGCCATGTGCCCAAAGTATGGTAGATAGAGCTTCAAAATCCTTGCCTCCAAGGAGAAACTTGGTTTCACCTTCTCCAAGAAAGACTTATTTGTTTTCTTGGTAGTCTATGGTATGTTCAAGACTCTTTTCCAGCACCACAACTCAAAGGTATCAATTCTTCTGTCATCTTTAGTTATTGTCCAGCTCTCTGATGCATAGCAAGTAATTATGAAGACCATGGCCTGGATCAGTCACATCTTAGTCTCTAGGCTAACATTGTTGCTTTTCAGTACTCTGGAGAGTACTATATGCAGACTTTTCCAGTCCAATTTGTCTTGATTTTCGGATTGCTGGTGCCAAGAGTGTTGATTGTGGAGGCAAGTAAGCTGTAATTGCTAACAACCTCAATCTCTTTACCACCTATCATGGTGCTTGCAATTGGCCCAGTGGTGAGAATCTTTGTCTTCTTGATGCTGAGCCTCAATCCGTATTGAAGACTACAGTCCTTGACTTTCTTCAGCAAGCACTTCAGGTCCTCCTCAGTTTCAGCAAGCAAGATTGTGTCATCTTCATAATGTAGGTTGTTAATGAGTCTTCCTCCAGTTCTGATGCCACGTTCCTCCTCATAAAGCCAGCCTCCTGAATGATCTGTTCTGCATATAGATTGAAAAAATATGGAAACAAGATACATCCTGACACACTCTTTTCCTGATTTTGCACCATGCAGTATTTCCTTGCTCTCTTCTGAAAATTGCTTCCCTGTCTGAGTATAGGTTTTGCATGAGCATAATCAAGTGTTCTGGGATTCCTATTCTCCTCAAGGTCAGCCACAATTAGTTGTGGTCCACACAGTTAAATGTTTTTGCATAATCAATGAAACACAGATAGACATTCCTCTGGTATTCTCTGCTTTCTGCCAAGATCCATCCGACATTGGCGATAATATCTCTAATGCCATGACCTCTTCTAAACCCAGCCTGTACTTCTGGTAATTCTCAACAACAATAATGCAGCAATATATAAACTCCGAGTCAACTTTAGTCCAACCAAAACCAAACTACTATTGTTCATTCAATTGCAACTCATAGAAAACCCTATAGGTTAAAGCAGAATGGTCCTACAAGGTCCAAGACTAATGTTTACAGAAGTAGACAATCACATCTTTCTCCCAAGGACTGACTGATGTGTTTGAACAGAAACTTTTAAATTATCCACTAAGAACTTAAATT